ATATGTTTTTCAAAAACCTAGCTCCCTGGAAGAGTTTGTGGGAGATGTGATGACCCCTCTTATGCAGTTTATGCCTCTGATCAATAAATATTGAAGTGGTGTATCAACAATTTCGTTTTGGAATACGTGGGAGTAAACTTCACTATAGACAATTCAAGTATGGCTGATAATAATGCTGAAAACGAATAGAAAGGTTCTTTTATAAGACAGCAAAAAAGTGCAACTTACTCAGACTTACTCAAAAAATATATATCTTGCACTGTTTGGACTTACTTGGACTTAGTCTCACCAAGTTTTCCCGACTCTGTCAGACGCACACTCACGAGAATTTTCTTCGACTGGGCTCACTCGGACACAAACTCACAAAATATTATCACCCAGACTCACTCAGACTCTCGGCTCGATCACAGTTTGACTACGACGACTAGTGAGTGAGTTCGACAATTGAGGATGTCACTGAACTAAAAATTCTGTCAATGCATTAAAAACGTATAAGCCCACATGTAAGCTTGTCTTAAATACTAGAGAAACAAGTAAATTTTGATTGCATTCTATACCAGGAGTTGCTGATATTAATGCTCTAGTAAACATGGTGAGCGCACTGTAACAGTGGTACAACCAAAATAGATTTAACGAAAGATATCGGTTATAACAAAGTTCTTGAAAAAGTCTTGTGAATGTTAGGTATCTACCTTTATAAAGAGTTTTTGTATGTAATGAGCCTATTTGAAAGTAACATGCAACCAGTATAACCAGGAATGAGTGTAAATGTGCTTCTTATAAATGTATTATCTGTTACATGATTATATTTTTGATCTCTTCTGCATAGTGACGGGTACACTTCTGGCCTAAAAATCATTAGCATGTGCCACGCATAAACATATGCGCATAGTTTATATCATCTGGGAGGGAGGGAAGGTTTGTCATCCCTTTTATATCAATGTGTAAGCCCGACCATTCTCTAAGCCCGCTCTCATATTAATGTCAATGTGTAGGGCTGTTTTTGCACACCTCCCTTTCTGGGGGTGTGGCCGGCGCCTGTCCTAACACCATAGGGGGGGAGGGGGGCAGCATCCCCCGTGCGCACGTTTTTGTAGGTGCACTGAAATCAGTTGTTCCTCCATTAAATTTCCGTTCTGTCCGTCCAGTCCTTATACTTCCGCACGACATAAAGATTCCGTATACATAAGGAAAGCCCGTGTGTCCTTACGTCTTACGTATGGTCCATGTCATGCCTTCCGTATATTTCTTATAGCTTTATGAGTCTTTTGCGTATATCAAATAACGACTCCGTTTGTTCTGTATATTTCGATCTATACAACTGTAAGGAATTCTTTTTGCACCATATCCCACCATCCGTATTTTCTTTACAATTTCCGTAAACATCCGTAAGCTTCCGTAAGAAATCCATTTATTCCGTTTGGCACTTATACGGAATCCGTATGTTTTCCGTAAGACCGCATAGGGAAACTTTCAATAAGGTTGGCTGGATCGAAGTGCACCTGCACTAGTGCCTTGGTGATTAGCTGTTTATCGTGTTGAAATGCCATGTCCTGCTCTTTCTTTCATGCCCAATGCTGACCATCTCGAAGCATATTGTGCAGTGGCTGCAGATGCGCAAAAAGGTTGGGTAGGAACCTCCTGTAGAAATTCCAAGGTAGCTTTGCAGCTGTTTTTTTTGGGGGGGGGGGGCTTCGGCACCTTCAGAACAGCCTCAACTTTCAGGGGGCCAGAGTCAGGCTGGCGTGGGAGATAACGTGTCTCAGGTATTCTACACTAATAACTATGAACATGCACTTTTTCAGCTTGAGCTTGAGACCATCATCCTGAATCCGGGCTTCAACGTTGTGCAGATTCTGAATGCGGTCTCTGTCGTCAATAAAGGTGACGAGGATATCGTCCAAGTACAATGCCGCGTGCCATATGCCACTGAAGAGGTTGTCCATCTCTCCATAAAAAATTGCTGGGGACGAGGCCACACCAGAAGGTTAACGCATATACTTGAAAAGCCCCATAGTTTTCGATATCATTTCGTGCTTTCGAGAGGCCACCTGGAGCACCAACTGCTGGTACGCGTCTCTGAGGTTAAGCTTCAAGAATTTCTGGCCACCAGACAAAGCCGACTAGAGATCTTGAATTTTGGGCAGGGGGCACTTTTTAATGGTAGCAACGGAGTTGATCGTAACTTCAAAACACCCACAGATTCTGACACTACCGTCTCGCTTGGGAAGTGTAACGATGGGAGCGGCGCACTCCGCAGTCTTGACTGGTACCAGGATGCATTCTCACTGTAGCAGTTGCAGCTCCAGGGTGACCACGTCCTTAGGTGCCTACGGCAGCGTACGAGGCTGGAAAAACCGAGACTGAACCCCCTGTGGATGCCAGCAGTTGTTCCTTCGAATGTGCCCACAACTGGCATGAACAGTGACTGGAACTCTGTTAGGAGGCTCGAGATGTCTTGTACGCCATGTAGGGCTGCTTCCTGACCTCCTGGCAGCCGAATACCCAGTGCGCAAATCCAATTCCTGCCGAGCAGCATTGGAGACGATCCCGTGGTCAAATACAGAAGAAGGGTTGCTTCCTTGTGCGAAAACGAATGCTGACCTGGGCCTGGCCTTGGACCTGAGAAAGTTCTGTCGGGTAACTCCGCAGCATGACACCTGAAGCTTCGACGGCCAGTGTGGGGAAGGTCCTTTTGAAAAGTTTGCCAGAAATGACCAACACACTGGCCACCATCTCCAGTTATATGAAAATGGGGCGCCCGAAAACTTCGACGGTTAGTATATACAGTGGCACAGACGATGGGAAAGGCCTGTGTGCCACATGTCAAAAGTAGGTGGGTCGTCAGTCCTGACGTTGAGCCTGACTGTGGAGGAACCTGAGTCTGCTGCTGCACTTCCCATCTGCCACCTGCGATGCCTACCCTGACCGCGGGCTGGTGTGGAACCTGGGCTTGATCCAGGCTGCTGCTGTGGTCCACTGTTTTACTTTCCCTTTCGGCATACTTGTGCAGGGTGCCCAGTTTTTCTGCACGTGCAGCACTGGGAATGTACGAACTGGCACTGTGAAGGGAAATGGGTGTCACCACAGCAACTGCATCTACCGCCCATTCCCACTATCTTCTTGACCGCTGCCTCCAATGACGCTGCAGGCACAAACTCGACAGCTGCTTCCGTTGAGGCCACACTCGCAATCTCACCAGCGTCTTTAGCCACCACGTCTATCGCCAGCGGTGCTTTCACCACGTTGTCCAGCGAGGAATCGGGAAGTTCCAGGAGACGCGTCTGCATAGCAGGGTTGTTTATGCAGCAGACGAAGTGGTCCCGTAGCAGCCAGTGCATCTGGTCCCCGAAAGCACAGGTACTTGCCAAACCTCGTAGCAGAGCGACAAACTGTCCGAGGTTCTCCCCTTCCCGACGTCTCCGGTTGTTGAAGCGGAAACGCTTAATTAACGTGGACGATGCCAGATGGAAGTGTGATCGCAGTGTAGTGAGCAACTCGTTGAATGTCTTGGTATGCGGTGTAGCTGGTTTTAGGAGGTCGAGCAGGAAACTGAAGACTTGCGTTTCACCTTTTGCCAGGAAATTCCCATTGTTTCTTCTGGTGCGTGTTGTTAGCGCGGAAAAACAGGTGAACTTGCTCCTGATAGATGGGCCAGCTGTATTTGTCTCCCTCAAACGCCTCGAGCCTTTCGCAGAGCAACATGGCGTCAGAGACTGGGGCGTTATTTTACCGCTCTCCATGGCATGGATTGACTTGTTGACTGAACTCGTCACCAGTGTCACGATCTCCCCCGATAACCGTGGGCGAGAAGGCTTGCTGAGGCGCCGCTCTCTAACAAGGACAAATCCACACTCTTAGAAAAAAGAGTTTATACATTTACTAAGTACTAGCCCATTACTTTTCAAAGAATCTACTAACGAGCTAGTAAATAAAACTAGTAAAAGTAACCCTAGCGAAACGCACTACCTCATTGGGCTCGTAACCAAAACTAGCCCAAATACTAACAGGTTGGGTAAAAGCACTACGTCGTTGGGTAGTTAATATAATACCTAGTTCGTAAGTGAATAGTGCTAACTCGAGTGATTAGTTCATTACTAAATTATCAGTAACCCCCGCATTTAGAGGTTTACTCATACTTTCACATTTCATGAACCATACAGTTTATGAAATGTGAAACTATGCGTAGTGTAAAAACGAGGACACAGCGTCCTCGTTTTCTCGCTTAATTGGTGTCTGGTTTTCGCGCTGCACTAAATTATAATTCAGTTGTTCTAACTCCCTCGACAAACAGCGTTGCTAAGTTGCCTGTGAAAAGTACTCCGGCTTCACCACCCCGTTACTCCTGCCAGCCGGAATAAAAACTTAGCTCCTGAGGTCTGGAATAAAATTTTCTCCGAATAGGAAGGACGCTAGAGTACTAGCATTTTACTCCCCCCTAGAGTAATTTTCTTACTTTGATAGCCGGCCTATTATGACCAGCTGGTCGGCGAAGGCAGCTGACGCCTATCACTCCAGCCAACAGGAAGGAGGGGAGGTGAGTGTAATGAGAGATCTTTTGGGCAGCCGGGTATAAAAATTAAAGTGTTTTACGCTTGCGTGTGCATAAGAGCATTTGAGAGGCAAGGAGTCGGTGTGGTCGTAAAGAGTGTATAGACATGCTGGAGCAACCAAAGTAGAAACAAGCACGCTGAAACATTAAAAACGCATACGTTTCATCCACTCGCAGAACAAAGAAGAATAAAGAGGGCAGTATTCATTAACAACTCTTTTAAATGCGCACTTTTATTATCTTACGAGCTATGAAGAACTAAGACAAATACCGAAAGTGTTTTAAGTTCCAAATATGACAAAGAAACATAGTGAAAAGCGCAGCTTGCTACTTACAAAAGCGAACAAAGCTGGATCGTTTAATGTAGGGTTATATTTTAAACCATCGCTTCCTCATATTGTCTAATAAGGTTTCCAAGCGCCTCGACTTCTAGAGCTGTGTCTTGAGGATGACAAGGCGGCACGTTTTAGTCCTGTTGGTGATTGCACTAACATGTTGTTCGATTGTTAGGGGTGACGCACTTATTGATTCCGACAAGAAGCTGAGTGGAGACACGCCAAATGTTCTGGGCAAGAAGCCGTATAGAGACACACCAAATAATACAGAGGAGGAGCCAGTTAGAGACACACAAACTGATCCAGGCAAGATGCCAGATTATTATTCCGACAAGAAGCCAGTAGGAGAAATACCAGTTGATCTAGGCAAGAAGCCAGGTGGAGACACACCTATTGATTCCGAAGAAAAACCAGGTGTAGACACGCAAATCGACCCTGAGACGCGAAAAGAAGAAACATCAATCGATCCGAACGAGCCAGTTGGAGGTGGAGGCCAACCAATTGATCCTATTGGGCCAGCTGGAGGTGGAGGCAAACCAGATGACCCGAATAAGCCAGGTGGAGGTGCAGGCAAACCTGATGATCCGAATATTCCAGGCGGAGGTGGAGGCAAACCAGATGATCCGAATAAGCCAGGCGGAAGTGGAGGTGAACCAGATGACCCGAATAAGCCAGGCGGAGGTAGAGGCGAACCAGATGACCCGAATAAGCCAGGCGGAGGTGGAGGCGAACCAGATGACCCGAATAAGCCAGGTGGAGGTGGAGGCAAACCAGATGACCCGAATAAGCCAGGTGGAGGTGGAGGCAAACCAGATTACCCGAATAAGCCAGGCGGAGGTGGAGGCAACCCAACCAGATGACCCGAATAGGCCAGGTGGAGGTGGAGGCGAACCAGATGACCCGAATAAGCCAGGCGGAGGTGGAGGCACACCAGATGACCCGAATAAGCCAGGCGGAGATGGAGGCAAACCAGATGACCCGAATAAGCCAGGCGGAGGTGGAGGCCAACCAGATGACCCGAATGAGCCAGGCGGAGGTGGAGGCAAACCAGACGACCCGAATAAGCCAGGCGGAGGTGGAGGCAAACCAGATGACCCAAATAAGCCAGGTGGAGGTGGAGACGAACCAGATGACCCGAATAAGCCAGGCGGAGGTGGAGGCAAACCAGATGACCCGAATAAGCCAGGCGGAGGTGGAGGCAAGCCAGTTAACCCAGTCAACCCTGTTGTCAAGTTAGTTTAATTTTAGGCTCCGGCTTAAGAAGCTACTACCACTTGCATGTTTGTATACTAAATAGTAAATTATTTCACAGTTCGTCGACTAAAGAATACCCTAAATGGGTGTTGGGGCCCTCTAAATGATTATTCAAGTTCATCTATGCCATAATTAGAAATTTTACATGAGAAAGAAGCAGGTTCTGTTGATTTCTAATTAATGCTGGAATTCACAATTTTGAATCGTCACATATTGGTTTTCAATTCAAATCGGTAAAAATACCTACTGATTCAGGTAATAACAACGCGACTCAAGGAGGAAGTGTTTGAGTGTGAGCTGCATGAGAGCCGCCGTAGTAGCGCACAAGCTTATTTCGGCGGTAATTCCTGCCCGAGTTCAACTCCGTTCATGTTACACTCAATAACTTAGGTGCACTATAAAGGAGGTACCAAACTAAAGAGAAAAGATGGCGCCTGCGCACAGTCACACTTGGAAGTTTTTGAAGAAGCAACACACACGTAGTTTTACCATTGAACAACCCTTGACATCAAATTTGGAAACTCAAGCTGTTTGTGTTGTTTGCGAGTGCTCCATGCGGGGCCACTACTGACCGATTATTTCTGACAACTGTTGTCTATAATACATAATACGTTAGTCTAAAAGTAAGGGAGCGTGCTGAACTGAGAACTCAATTCGAATTGACAATTTCTTTCATTCGACATGGACAGAGGGCCTCTCTTGACGTTGTAGAAATTAGCCAAGTACTGTCAGCGTCAGAAAAAATTTCCGCGGTGCCTAGCGAAAGCTATTGCTCATCACTCTTCTTGCTCTGTTGCGATAGCTTCTCTTAAAGGGATTTAGACTGCTCATACCAAGAATACTTTCCTTCATTTTTTCTCAGGGGGACACACTATAAGCACCCACACCATTTCATCTTACACTGCCTATGGGTCCCCTATTTGCAAACGGTGCTCTCAGCGTCACAGACGATTGAGATTAGATTGCACAGTCTCAGCCTGTGCCCCACTGCGGGGCGATTGTTTTTATGATATTTAACCTGGTGTTTAAGACCTAATGTTTCTATGAATTGAGAAATCCTGTATATATTATACGATGCGTTAGATCTTTTATGATTCAGTTTAGGCATTATCAGGCGCTAATCTAAAAATTTCTGTAAACACAACAAGCAAGACTTCCACTGACAGCGGTCCTTTAGGTGTCTGCAAAATGCTCTTTCGTGGTCCAATTTTTTGCCTTAAAAAGAATGACTTTCCACAATGGACCATGTCTAGTGAAAGAACACGAAAGGTATTTGTAAACTGGTAGAGAAAGTTCCACGGAAGCCTATATGTCCAGTAGTTGGCGGATTGTTGCCACCACTTCAATCTACGTACAAAAAAGAGAACTAAGAGCAAAGAAAAAAATAAAAATAAAATATGACCTCACACTCTCAAGCGGTACCGACGTCGTGTATTTGCCTTACATGGCATGAAACTGGAAGTTTTCTTCATTGCTTACTCTTTCCTTGCTCTTATTAATACGCAATTTTCTTGCGCCCTATGGTTGGCTATTCACGTGCGTGAAAAAAAGGGTACACCAACCACCAACAAGAATAAATGAAGATGCAAGGTGGTTACTATAGCTAAATAGTGTACTTGCTATTTACACAGAAAAAATTGCAGATGAAATGGTGACACAAATCTTCACAAGTGCAATATCATAGCAGTTCCAAAACTCACATTTCCCGATAGTGAAAAACTACTGCAGCGAAAGAGCAGCAATAAAATATCGCTTTGGCAACCATAGAGCACAGTGTCTTGCTGCTTAGCGGGTCCCTTGACAGTCACCAAAGGTGAGGGCATGCCGACTATGCCCCAGCAAAAACAGTAGTCAGTCATCACAGGAGCAGCTATCTCCATTTTTTAAGCTGCTTCAGCGAGCCCTTAATTGTCAAGCCGGTGAATAGCACATAAGCAAATAAATAAGCTACAGAAGGTACGCAAGACATTACCACGCAAAAGTTGCCAATGACACGTTGACCCAGTAATGCGCCAAACTAAACACAAACCTTGATAGCAGATTGCCTGGATTTGCCCCTTCTCAGTTATGGCAATTGACCAAAAAATTAGGTGACGAACCAATTAACTAAGCGGCAGGTGAACCGTAAAGTAAATTTATGTTTAACTTTCACACAAAGAAATTTATGACTATTGAAAAAAAACTTATCAAATTGAGTTTTTGGTTTTGTTATATGGCCTCACCTCACTTAGTTGTGCTTTATACGTCGGCGGGCGTTTATGTCTGTGGCAATAGGTTTTCAATACTTTTCGTTTCACATTCATGAACCATGCAGTTGTATCACTGCCCATGCGGGAAAAAAAGTTGAAAAAGCTATTGCAGCGTGTTTTCACTTTTTCGTTTTTGATGCATGTGTTGGCCCAAGATTTTATCTAATGTGGAAAGTCATTCTGCTTTTACGCGAGAAAAAATTCGCCACGTTCGCAATCTGGAAACTAAACGCATTTGCGCAACCTCAATATAATTCGAGTTATGTGTGTGTGCCTGGGTCATCGTTTTAACATTTTTTTGCGTACTGAAGGCACTTTGAGCATCTATCTATCTATCTATCTATCTATCTATCTGTCTATCTATCTATCTATCTATCTATCTATCTATCTGTCTGTCTGTCCGCTTATGTCTGGGTGCTTTCTTAACCAAGCTCTCATTTGGGATGAAGCAAAATTTGTACGAGAGGCTAAAATGGCTTGTAGAATATGACCCGCTGGCCACAATAAAAATAATGTCACAATCCCGTCACGTACGTCGTCAAACTCTTTCGGCCAGACGTGTGGAACATACTCGCATACAAAGTAGGGGCATGTGCCACAGGTATTCTGGTAAGTGCCCCAGGTGAGTGAAAGTTTATATTCACCAGGAACGGGTAGGAACATATATGTGTAGTTTTAGCGTGTGAACGTTAAGAAAACAACTTACTTGAGTAGGGTTGGCCTTATGCAGAGAGTAAGTGCTACGGCTCAAGCAGCAATAGAACCCCAGCTGTCTGTGTGGCAATCAGGTGTTCTACCACAGAACGACAGTTGGTAAAAGAAGTACTTTTAAAAAAATTCTAGTGTTCGTTAAACCTTCATTCACATGTTTCGCACAACATTGATTCTCAAGGCACGTGAAATATGGCTGCCAAAACTTTTTTCTTGTTTATTGCTGTTTTGTTGTGCGCCTTGTTCTTTCGGTTTAATGAACACTTACCAGCACGTCCAAATAATGTTAGCCCACTATTTAGAAATACGTCCAAAAATATTACAAGGAATTTATTAAACTTGCGAAACTGTTTGATTCATTCATGCTAAGTTGCGTACTTTCATTCGCCTGCCAAAACGCAAGTACATTTGAATATTTTTTGTGTACCATATGTCACATATTCTCAAATAACTCCCTGATGAGTCATGCTCTCTTGTTATGAGTCATTGTCAGGGTGCACTGGGCAATATAAGTACATGCTAATTCATTGTTTCATGGCGTAGCGATGGCGTAGTGGTTAGAGCATCCGCCTCGCATGCAAAAGGTACGTGGTTAAATCCCGGTGCCGCGCAGCTCCCAACCAGATAAAAAATCAGCGTGGTGATGGAACTGCATTACGAGGCCTGGGGTGCGGCCTCACCGTTAACCACCGCCGGGAACGCACTCCTTCACTAGAGAAGGATTGGCCACCCTGGTGCAGTATCTGGCCACTACCTCCCACATGCATACGTCAAATAACTCACGACCCTCAGTCCCCAGCAGCTGCGAGGCAACTGACCACGGCGGCGGTCAGATCTGCAACGCAGCAGAGGGTGCTAAGAATCTCTGGATCCGGACAGGCCGCCATTAGAACTTGAACTTGGCAACGTTTAACGCTAGAACCTTATCTAGTGAGGGAAGTCTAGCTGTACCGTTCGAGAAGCTGGAGGATGTTAAATGGGATATAATAGGGCTCAGTGAGGTTAGGAGGACAGATGAGGCCTATACGGTGCTACAGAATGGGCATGTCCTTTGCTATCGGGGCTTGGCTGACAGAAGAAAACTGGGAGTGGGGTTCCTAATTCACAGAAACATAGCTGGCAACATAGAAGAATACTATAGCATTAATCAAAGGGTGGTAGGTATTGTAATTAAACTGAATAAGGGATACAAGATGAAGGTGGTACAGGCTTACGCGCCCACATCCAGCCATGATGACGCTTCAATTGAAAGCTTCTATGAAGACGTGGAATCGGCAATGAGTAAGGTAAAAACACAGTATACAATACTAATGGGAGACTTTAATGCAATGGTAGGGAAGAAGCAGGTGGGAGACCAGGCAGTAGGAGATTATAGTATCGGTACTAGAAACGCCAGAGGAGAGCTACTAGTAGAATTCGCAGAACGCAATAATTTACGGATTTTGAACACCTTCTACCGAAAACGAGGAAACCGCAATTGGACATGGAGGAGCCCTAATGGCGAAAATAAGAACGAAATAGACTTTATAATGAGTGCACACCCAGGCATCGTGCAGGAAGTGGAAGTGGTTGGCAAGGTACTATGCAGTGACCATAGAATGGTATGGTCTCGAATTCGCCTAGATTTGCGGAAGGAACGACAGAAA